TGTTCACCTGAGCATAGCTGCGGACAGCAGTGTGGTTTTCCTCCGTCTTGAACATACAGTGCTCCGTCACCTTGGTCTTGTCCCCATCGTCAATGCGTGTTCCCCCGGGAGCTGAGAGAGGGAAAGTGAGGTTACTGGTTAATGATGTAAATCCTTTGAGAGCACAGTGCTGTCATTGTTAACCTCTACTGAGAAAATGTCACTACCTACTGCACAGCTATGATAGAGACAGACGGCACAGCGACCAGCTATGCAACACCACAACAATTATACCAGAATACATCATTTCATATGTATCATATGCTATGTTTGCAATGTTTCGTTTTATTTATGTATAATGCATTATTACAGTATTATGCTGTACAGCTTCATGTATAAGAGAAGTGAAGTAGTGCAGGTCAAGTTCAAAAAGCATTAGCCTCTGTACTACAGAGTGGATGCATTTCGAAACCATTTAATCAAATAAGGAAAGAAATTGAATTACAGCATTGCTTCACCACAAAATAGGTCATGGTTTCTCAATGTGTTCTGCACACATAACAATGCAATGCCTCCAAGTAATCCACAGGTGTCTGGGACCCGGGTTAATACCATACAGAGTTAAAGTGTAAAGTGTAAAACCTGGAATTGCAGCTGTGTGTCTAGCTTGCTAGCTTGCGTGGGTTGTGAGTCGGCACGGCTCCAGCGCGAATGAATCTAGTGTTCTGAAGAGTATGTGTGTCACCGCACCACCGCACCGGTGTGGATATTTACAGTACTTCGCAATCTCAGATTCTAGCCTACGTCTTGGAATATGACCCAAATAAGAATTTTCACCGTATATTGCCATCTGAACAAGTAAGTAACAAGTCTGCCACGTTTGTTCTGACCAACTGAGGAAAAAAGCATTACCGTCCATAAATCTCGCTACCAATGGTGATTAAATCTAAAGATCGGTTAGCTCATATCACATCAAACTGTTCAAGCTATTTTTATTGTTATACTTTATTCTCAAATGATTAATGTTAACAACATCAGCATTGCGTGACTATGAGTATAGTGTATATTAGCGTGTAGATTTCAATTTCTGCACAGTCTAATCTAATTGTCATACTCTTCGAATTTCATATTAAGAAATTCTTTTAACCCAAAAAGCAAATCATGCTCCCTTCGAACTGGTTTTCTTTCAAATACAAATCTGTGTAATCCCAGGCTATCTGTAATTAGAAGCACATTTATAACTGGAATATAATTTAATTTCATTCACATGTGTTTCATAAACATATAATCCTTTCTGGATTACAATCCGCCATACATTTAATTATTCTGACTGCTGTGAGAAAAGGCTATAAACGATCTGCCACCTGCAGGATCCTCACATGCCATAGCCTAGTAGCCGGGACAACTTCATGTTTACAGACGTGATGTAATGATGCAATGCCATGCTCAAATTTCCCCATGAAAACCTACCCGTACCACTCAAATTAGAAAACATTATTATAAGTTAATCGTTGTGAATCGGGTTAAAGTAAGGAGATAGTTTTGAACACTGGCTGGTTATGTACTTGCTCAAATATTGATTTTGAATAATTTTTAACCAAAAAAAACCACCACCTGCTTCGTTGAGGCCTTGAACAATAGTGTCTCGGAAAACCGTAGGCTCAAACTTCTCCTTTTCATCTGAGAGAGAAAAAAAAAACAAGATTCTTAGTCAACGTTACCGGCAGCAGAGATTCAGGATTCACATTAGCCACTTATGATGTAGAATATAATGCTTTAAATGAGTTGATCCTTGATTTGTATCCATCTGTGTAGAACACTTGATAACGCACACAGAAATATGCAAGCCGCACTTATACCTACCATTATGTAAATGAATTCCCTCGCCTCGCTGCTGGCTAGGAATTCTGATTATAGCACACACTAAAGAGCATGTTGAGTGTCTTCCTGTGAGATCTCACATTTGAAGAACCAGTCACACCTACCACACAAGCCAGTGAAGCATAATTCTAATGCCCTGTTGAAAACACCCCCACATTTGTCACAGTCAAAAGCTATTAAGTAACGTTAAGCTGTCCGTAATGTCTAACGGTGTTCACCTTTCAACTGCATCATACACCTACACGGAAGATTGAATTTAGAACTGTATGGTAGATACTGTCCAGCATATGCACAATACTTAAGTGTGTATCTTTTTTTTTCATTTTTATTTTAAAAATCAAAAAATTGACCAACAATTTAAAAAAAAAACAAGAACGTGAAACTTTTTTTAAAGTTTTAACTTCTTTTAACTTGAGCGCTGTGTTTTTAGAAGGCTGTGTCATGAGCAAGACGCGTGTTAAATTTTTAACAATGTTCATCTAGCACGTTTACATAAAGAAACAATGTAAAAGTAGCGCAGTGGAATGGAAAAATGCTTTCTGTGTGAACAGCCCCTAAACTTTCGGTTTCTGGAGCTAATGCTGCAGCTATTGCAGTAGGCTATTTGTTAACTTCTGTGTCTCTGAAACTGAAGAACTAAGATAAAAGACCAGAACAGCAGAGGGTCTGCACTGCTACCAGTATTGTGTAGGACATAAAGTGCAAAGTAGCACACAAACAAGCTATTAATGGAACATGAACGGAGACCCTTGCCACTGCATTGCTGAGAGAGTGTCTGCAACATGTGTGCACATCTAAGGTTCGAGCGTATTTCTAAACGTGAACATTTTTTAAAAATAAAATCATTGTACACTTTCCATATAACTGTCAATACGCATTTTTGTTTGTTTTCATATATATATATATATATATATTTTTGTAGTAATCAATCACGCCACTCGTATTTCACCTGGAGTACAAACAATTAAGTAAAATACGAGTGTTAAAGAAGGTCTATGTAATTTAAAGAAGATCCTTTTTAAAGCCCACAATTAGTTTTTATGCGGTAGAATGTGTAATACCGAGATAAAAAGTGACTCACCCCTTTTTCTGGTCTTAAACCGCTGGCCTGTAAGCACTGGCTTCTGTTGCTTACCGGTATTCATAAAAGTCCTTCACATGCAAAGAAACAGACATCAAATATATTAAAATCAGCAACAAAAACATAATGACCCATTTTGTGTACTATGACAGATCCATTATTCAAAAAGTCCCACAAGACAAAACAATGAAACAACTCCTGACCCAGTAATCTGTGCTTTACCCAACACTACACCCTCCTCTCACACACCTCGTTTATAATAGCGCACTGTACTAGGGAGAAAAAAAAGCTTGCGATCTAAAAGCTCATCAGCTGAGAGGTCCTCTTCAGCATGCAGCGAGTGCTCCAGCAGAACGCCAGTGCTCCGGCAAGCCTTTCGCTGCCCTGTGCTAAATATAGAGGGGCTCATCCCCGACAGTGTAAACTTCAGTCACCCAGGTCTGGGACACGTGTCGTATTACAGCAAAGACATGTCTGATCACAGCTTACAGCCCTCTGCATGTGTGTGTGTGTGTGTATATACAAGCAGACTCACAAATTATACACACGTGCAAACATACACAAACAAAGTCATCATTTTCCATCAGCTGCCTCAACAACATACTGACGCTCAGAGTGACAGAGTGAAGGTTAAGATTGTGTAATCTTATGACAAGGATCTACAAAAAAAAATATGGGGTAAACTGCATAACCAGCAAAGCCAAAAAAAAAAAAAGATCCTTCATGTACTTTATTCCTTTATGTTGCAGTTCACAGGTTAGAATTGTGAGAATGATTTGTGATAGAAACATGAGTCACAACGGTATAATATAATAATATATAATTATTAGACTGATTTAACTCATTTAAAAATTAATTAAATCTAATTTTAAAGATTTAAACTCTCTCTCGCTCTTCCTTCGGCTTGCTCCCTTTTATCAGGGGTCACCACAGCGGAGTGATCCGCACAACTGATTTGGCACGTTTTACGCCGGATGCCCTTCCCATCCAGCCCTGAAAGTGCACTAACTCGTTCAGTCAAACCCAGTGCTGGGACACACTCACTCACTCACTCACTCACTCATTCACACACACACACTCAAACATTTAAACTAATAATAAAAAAAACAACAACTTAAAATTAAATTAAATAATTTAATAAATTATTAGTTTATTAATAATAATAAACTAATTATTTATTATTAGTTTATTATTAATAACCCCCCCTCCCCCTCTATAAACTACTATTTAAAAGTTTGGGGTCTGTAAGTTTTTTTTTTTTTTTTAAGTAATTAATACTTGAATTCACCAAGGATGCATTAAACTGAGCAACAGTAAAGTCTAAAGACTCTTTCTATTCATCAAAGAATCCTGAGAAAAAAAAATAGGTTTTCCACAAAAATATAAAGCAGATCAACTGTTTTCAACACTAATAATAAGAAATGTTTCTTGAGCACCAAATCAACATAGTAAATAAATGAAAAAATAAATGCAGCTTTGGTGAGCAAAAGCCCAAAAGACACTTCTTTCAAAAAAATAATAAAAAATAAAAAAAGGTTAAATCCCAGTTGTATAAATAGTTGTGCAAATGTATTACTTTTTTACATATAAAAATATTTTTCTAAAAAAAGCAGTCAGAGGAGGTGAATCTTCTCACCCATATTCTGCAATGCTGCTCTACAATAACAGATAATATAGAATAGATATATAATTATAGATACATAAAATGTTCTCTTAAACAGAGCATATTTTATATTTCATAGGCCTACCACACAAAGAATACCCTTGACCTGTCCTCAAAGCTGCATGAACTTGTGACTCAGTGATATTTAATTGAAATCAGAACAACTGTTTTTAAACAGCATTGTTCATAATGGCTCACTGTTTTTCTAACATTGAGTCCTTTCACGCAGCTCTGAACAATATGTACTCATGTGCAAGTCCCGTGTGATTTAAAAATGATATCAACAACCACGTTCACCAGGGAGGAGCCCACAAAGGGGATGATTTAGCTGATTGTCACCAAACCCTAATCCATTACAGCAGACAATGCAGTAAACTGCTCTTAGATCGGCTCAAGTGGAGGATGTCCAGAGCACAACACCACACAGGATCGCTTAGTACCAGTGACGCTCCAGAGAGTCAAAAGTCAGAGTTGGGTTTTAATTAGATTACAACAGTCCCTGAGGAGTGAGTGGGGCTTACAAACCATCAGAATCACTCTGTACCACACTGCTGATTCAACCCATCTTTTCTCACAGTGTGCAAGTGGCATTCCTTGTCATAAAACCAATTAAACAAGGACAAACATCACACTGCACTTGGCAACCACAAGAATATGTTCTTGCAGACTTGTCTGTGCTGCCATATAGCTGTAGGTTTATGTTCCATGACACACACATGTGTGTGTTTGTGTGCTACTGTCGCCAGTCCCAATTTATAAGTGCTTCAGTGCCAAGAATAACACACAGGCTATGGCATTCCTGGAAGAGAATGCAACCTGGTTTCAAAGTCGGAATGAGTTGTTGGGACACAACAAAAGACGGAAGCTTTGACAGGATATAAATATTATATATACTAATATAAAATTTTACACACGCATATACATCACGCATATAGTTCAAGGGCATTCCTATTTTAAGATTAAAATATATTTTTATTACATAAATATTTTTTTTATCCTTTACATTCAGCATTGCACATTCTACAGTCAGATATTTAATACATACACACGAAAAACACTTTTTATGCATACTTTTTATTTGATCCCCTGAAATAATAGTTTTGTTGTGCGCTCGTGTAAGCACAAGCTGTCGACCTGTTCAGAAAAGTAGCTTAAAATCATTACAACATAAATAACCAAGTAATCTGACTTCATCTATAGTTAAATGCCTCCCTCTGCTTACAAATTAATAAAATAAAAAAATAAAATAAAATAAAATAATTTTTGCACATGCGCTTATTCATCTTCTGAAATCAGTAATTCAGTTTTCGAGACCAGCAGGTTACGCTCAGAAGCTCGCTGCTCAGAAGAAGCACGAGAGAATCAGACACGAATCAGGCTAATTGTAACATTGCGCATCATGTGATTGTACTTACCTGTCTGTGATTCTGCCTGTGATAATCTCGAGCACCGCTTCGCGCAGTATCTCACGCGACAGTTCGAGCAGGCAAGTTAAGTACAGCTGGACTGATCTACTCTTGAGAGGGGTAGTTCGCACGACATGAGAATTGCTACTGCAATTAATAATGAAATCTTCTTGAATGGAGAAAGAAATAATATGTATTTACAGTAGCGTTTTATAAAATAGACGTTTATATCCTAAAATATTCATTACGGCTTTTTAACATCGTGCCACTCGGATTTCCACCCTCCCCTCTTTTTAATTTCCAAAGTGGTATGAACCAAGGATGCTTTCTCCTTTTTACTTTGAGCTCTGTATTATAAGGTTTGTTTTCTGAGGAAGCAGTTTTCACATCCATATACTATTTATCCTTAACAATATTAACAAATGACCGGTGTCAATATGACGAGTCTGACCCCTGCAAGGAAAGGTGAGCTGACAGCTGAAGAGAGAGTGATGCTACAGGTAGCTGCTGCAGGTACTGGAAATCACTGTTCAGTTTTCTTCTCTCTCTGTGTGTGTGTGTGTGTGTGTGTGTGATAGACTAATATTAATTAGTCTATTAAATTGGTTGGATGTTTATTTATTCGTTCTCTTGTTTGTTTAGTAACAAGGCCTTTCTGATATTATGACCAGTTTTGGGTCAAGAAAGTTTGTTGTTGTTGTTATGCTTTTATTCAGCAAAACACATTACATTGATCAAAAGTGACATAGCAAACATATCTATTACAAAAGAGTTCTGCTTAAAATTAATACTTTTTGTTTTTTACTTTCTATAATCAAAAATAAATAAATAAAGTTTCCCCAAAAATATTAAGCTGCACAACTGTTTCAACAATGATAATAATCAGAAATATTTCTTGAGCAGCAAATCAGCATATTAGAATGATTTCTGCAGGATCATGTGACTCTGAAGACTGGGGTAATGATCCTGGAAATTCAGCTTTGCATCACAGGAATAAATTACATTTTAAAATACATTCAAATATAAAACAGTTATTTTAAATTGTAATAATATTTCACAATATTACTGTGTTTTTGATCAAATAAATGTATAGCCTTGCTGAGACTTCTTTCAAAAACATAAAAAAATATCCAGTGCCCGTTTCACTTTATACAGACTTTGATATTAGATGTAAGATTTGTTCACGTAATTCACATCTATAAACTGACCAATTTAGTTCATCTTTGTTTGTCTCAGAACTGTATATTACTGAAACCTTGCATAATTTGAAAAGGGTAGATGTCCTGAAAATACCCTCAGTATAATTTAAGTGTCTTTACACAAAGTGCAGTTGGGTATGTAGACCATCCATGGAAATAAAATGGTGGCTCATCATGAGTTGTCCATGATCCCTAATGTTTAGTTTGTAAACTCTAGACTGTGTTTTCTCAAAAGGTGATGTGCAAGAGGCCACCCAGCTCCTCAGCAATCCAAATGTGCGTGTTAACTGTCTGGATGAGGTAAGAACATAAAGTTGATGAATATAAAACCAGACATAGGGCAGCTGGCCAAACACAACCCATACTTATTGTTACTTTTATTAATGTTTATGCTATTTTACTGCAGCCTGACTACATAGACACATGCCTTACATTGTAAATAGTGGTATTATTTAGTTTTTTTTTTTTTTTTTGACGATCAGTCCTTATGTAAACAAGTGCAGTGGCTGGTGGGCTGGTGAGGTGATGGCATATGTTTCGCATTGTTATTCAGGCATATGGCGGAGACTCTAGAGTGGCGGATATGGTACTTAAAGAGGTGTAATAATGGAGACATGCCACTAGATGTAACCTACAGACTACTTGAGGTCCTTTTGGGGCCAGAATGATTGGAAACAGCAGTTAATAAGTGTATCCTACCTGTCAAAATCAGATGTGCTGCTTGTTCGCTGTGCCACCAACGCAGTCTTTCGACTTCATCCAAGGAGCAACAAAGATTATGACTCACCAGCTCATGTCACTCTCAGCAAGTGCCAGTGTTTTGTCAGAATCTCCATACTGCAGACACATTTCTTGGGTTTTCACAATTTGTGAGAGGATTGAACAAGGCTAAATGTCATTTGCTTTTGAGTCATGCAGATGAAAAGACTGGTGAAAGCCATTTCATGTCGTTTCAGTATGGCATGACCCCTCTCATGCATGTGGCCTATAAGGGCAAAGCAGACATGTGCAGACTGCTGCTGCAGCACGGAGCTGATGTCAACTGTAATGAGCATGAGTATGGTTATACTGCTCTCATGTTCGCTGGCCTCTCAGGTAAACTCATGTCAATAGTAATGCTACCAAGTTTCATTTTATCTAACGTTTAAAGGTACAAAAGCTTCACTGACGTGAGACCTTTTCAAAAATACAGTAATATTGTGAAATATTATTACAATTTAAAGTAATCTTTTCTATTTTAATATATTTTAAAATGTAATTTATTCCTGTGATGACAAAGCTGAATTTTCAGCATCATTGCTCCAGTCGTCAGTGTCATATTATCCTTCAGAAATCCTTCTAATATGCTGATTTGCTGCTCAAGAAACATTTCTTATTATTATCATCAATGACTACATTTACATGTGCACCAATAATGTGATTATTTCCAATCAGAGTAAGGAAATAATCACAGTAAGATGTTTACATGACTGTTTATTCACATATTTTATGACGATTATGGTTTCTATGATTATACGCTTAATCACATCAATTTAATTGAAGTATTGTGTTTACATGAAGAAAGTTTAATCTCATTATTGCCTAAATCCCATCATAATAAATGCTGAAAATGGTTGTTCTGCTTAACAATTTTGTGGAAACCATGATACATTTTTTTCAGGATTATTTGATGAATAGGAAGTTCAAAAGAACAGCATTTATTTGAAAATATAAATATTTTGTAATGTTAATATTAGAAATGTATTTACTGTCACTTTTAATCCCACAGGTAATGCTGAAATTACAGAGATGATATTAGATGCTGGAGCAGAGACAGATCTGGTCAACTCCGTAGGACGAACTGCTGCTCAGATGGCTGCTTTTGTGGGTGAGTGATTCATATATAAATGTGCACACTTACTAATTAATAACTAACCTCTTTCTCTTTCTGCCCTGTGCAGGTCAGCATGACTGTGTGACAGTGATTAACAATTTCTTTTCTCGTGCGAGGCTGGAATATTACACAAGACCCGAGGGCTCAGAGGGAGAGCCTAAACTACCCCCCAAACTAGCAGGACCCCTACACAAAATCATCATGACTACTAACCTAAATCCTGTCAAGGTAAGAACTGCCAAGTGTGTTTATATAACTATTTCAAGCGGCAGTAAAGCACCATGCTCACACAAACCAAACAATGTTAGTGAAACACAGCAACCTATGGTTTTATAACACTGAGCCATAAGAATAACAAACAAGGTCACATGACTGGAGGAACACCCCTCCTGCTTTTATTCCATCTAAATATATCCTCGTGATATTACAGAGCAACAACATGGCCTGCATTTCAACACAGGCTTGGAATTCTGTATATCTGTTAAACCTACAACTCTGATAAACAACCTTCATTGCATAATATATGAAAAATGGAATGACACTTGCATGTGACATTGCAATGAAATGCATAAATAACACCGCCCAGCATCATATTTGCTGAATGAAATCCAATACTTGTTTGTTACTGATTTTGGGGTACTGATTCCAAAAGTAGTGCCTTTTGTGAGGTGAAGAAGTTGTATTATCCCTTAATCGACAGAAAAAAGTGCTACAAAGGCATTATTTCTATCTTTCTCTGAGCCAGATCACTACTATCGATTTAATTGTCAACAGATTTTCACATGAATGATTCTGAAGACATTACCTATACGCAAATGATACTTATGTACATATATTAAATTTCCATATGAAATATATTGTCATGTGAAGTAAAAACATAATGCATAATAATAATTAAACATAATAATACATCATAAATAATAACAAATAATCATATGGGTATTATTAACATATGCATATTTTACTATGGTGATTTTATTTATGTTATAAACTTAAATCTTCATATACCCAGAGAATGTATTATGTGAAAATTATATATTGCCTTATAGCTAAACTCTTGATATAGGGAAATATATGTCATATATTACATTTCTGTATGATTATTGTATGCCTAATCCTGATTTCAAAGTTAGAATTATGGCCAGTGACAGAAGAAAATGCAAGCAAGACCCAAATGTTTTCTGCTTCATCTGCATCTGTGGGTATTTTACTATATCCAAAAAGCAACATAAAATTAGTTTGTGATTTTTTTTTAAAATAAAATTGTTTATGTAAAGATCTTTGACAGAGTATATCTTTGACATTTGACTGCTTTTGTTCTGCATTCTGATAAGTGCATTAAAGCTGATACCTACTGTATATAATTTGGAAAAATCTTCATTTTTATTTTGTGAAATGAACTGTATGTGATGAGTGATTTTTATTGATAATTTTGAATTCATCATCATCTAAATGGGTAATATTAGGCCTTTTTCTAATAATCAGAAATTGTATTTTCAAGATGCTGGCCTGTGAGTGTCAAATCAAAGGTTTGTGTTAGTAATTTAATACACAGTTGCTCTAGTATAGACTTGAGTGTGTGCTTTGTGGCAGATCTCGGATGGCATCTGTGTAAGCTATCTCAGCTGTCTCCCATCCAGTGATTTCTGATGAGTAAGGTGTCTCAATCCCACACTCAGCAGGGATCAGTTAACAGAATAATGTAGCATGAGAGCATGTTTCCTCCATGAAACTTGCATTGTAAGTAAGGCTAGTGTCTCTGCTATATTCACTTCTCATATTTTGGGGCACATTTTTCCATCATGCTTTTTCAGATGGTGATGCTGGTAAAGGAGGACCCCTTATTGGTGGATGTGGTGGCGCTGGAGAAGTGCTACCGTGTGATGGATCTGCTCTGCGAGCAGTGTGTGAAACAGCAGGACATGAATGAGGTTCTGGCCATGAAGATGCACTACATCAGCTGCGTTCTGCAGAAGTGTCTGGCTTTTCTGCAGGAACGTGATGACAACCTGGACGCCCTTTTGAAG